TCTCGAACGCTGGCTGGCGCTCGCTGCCGTAAGTGCCGGATTCGCCTGGCGACGTTTCACCCACGGCAGGCCCGAACTGCAAGGACGGCTGGTATGGCCCCAGGTGGGAGCCCGCTGAGACCTCGAGTCCGCAACCCGACGGATCACTGCTCCCACGCCCTGGTTCTTCAACCTTGCTTCTTCCTTCTTCGCGCTAGATTCCAGAATTTTCTGGAATCTAGTGCGAAAGGTCTTTAACCTAGCAGCTGAGATGGGAGATCAGGAGAAGAAGGAATTTTTCGCCAGTGTGCGTAGGGTTTCCGCCACTCGGCGAAGCCTTTTCTCCTCAGTGATAAAGGAGAAGAAGAAAGTATGCGCCAGAGTGCGTAGGGTGTTTCCGCCGTGTCGTCGGCGAAGGTTTTGCCCTTAGCGACAAAGCAGGTAATGAAGAGGATTTCCACCTGAGGGGTGAAGACTCGTGCTACAAGCAGATTAGTGGGAGACTACCGCCAGAGAGCGAAGACGCGTCCTGCAATCGCAACGCATGGGAAGCCGACGTGTTACCGGCAAAGAAGTTTGGTGCTTGGAGATCGGCCAATTGAACACGCAAGGTTTCCTGGAAGAGAAACTGCGGGGGCACCGGAACGACAACAGCACTGGACTTTGAGTGAGTGATTCTCGGAAGAGTATCATTCAGACTTTTGTTCCAAGGACTCTGGACTGGATAAATTTTCGAACACTTTAGTCTTTAAGTGTCTTAGATGTTTGATGCATGCGTTTGCATTGTAGTGCGTATTGTTGTTTGTGTCCGTTGTTTCGAGTGGGGCTGACTGCACTGTGTAGTACGTTCTTCGATTGGTGACATATGGTATTCAACTATTGTCGAGTGTGCATATTTGTGTATCGTTTTGATCTGCCATAATTGAGAATATAATTTTGTTTTGATATCAACTCTCGGCTCTGACTTGTTTTTTGGGCCACAGCCGGCGTCCGCTGGCGCGCCAAATAGGACCATTTCTAAATTGTCCACGCTTTCGTGGTGCAGTTCGGGGGGCCGATACTTCGGTCCTTGGAATTAGCCCGGCGATCGCCTCCCTAATTAACGGGACCTGTGACAGTGGTCACCGCTATCATCATAATGATTTTTACAGCGGTAGCACCGGCAGTGACCCCTGGCGGCAGGCAAGCCTTGGTGGTGACGCGCAACAAAATAAAAATTGGCCCCGGATCTGCATGTGACACTGCAAGAGCGGTCAAAAGACGATAGTCTTGCGTCTGTGGTCAGTAAACGAAACGTTTATTTAATGTTCTGCGCAAGGAAATTGGTGCATGGTATTTTGAAGGCGATGCGTTAGTGCCTCGAGCGTGTAGGGGAGGCGAACGAGCGCATCTAGGCACATTAGACACGAGCGTCATCTGGCAGGTCGAAAACAAAGGAAGGCGTGCGTGCCCACGGAGAAAGATGCACGCCTGTCGCGAAAGTCATAAGGTGTAGAACGAAAAGCGATGCACAGGTGCCACCACCATGTGGTCTTAGCAAAGTGTTGGAAGCACGTACCTTCTTGAGCACCGCGTTGCGCTGTCAGAGCAGCGTGATAAACGCTATGGTCCTTAGAATCATTTGTGTGTGCCTTCTGTAGTGTAAAGGCACTCATACAAAACATCGACGTGTTGTTATGGTGCCTCAGATACGCGGAATAAATGCTTTTTATTTGACAATCGCACAAGTATGAATGCTGAATCTCGAGCAATATTTGTGGGTGCTGCGGTTGGGGTTGGCCGTGTGGTGCCGTTTGAGGTAATAGTAAGGGCGGACAAACAGACAATTGTACAGACAGACAGACAGACACACAGACAGACAGACAGACAGACAGACAGACAGACAGACAGACAGACAGACTAAAAGTTTTCAGTCGAAGGTCATCTTTAATAATAAGCTCGTCTTTACGGCTGGTGGCGTTAGACGTGAATGGTTGCTCTCACGGCGTGTCCCCGGGGCATGGAACCGCGGGCCATCTGCCGGGGGCTCGCGCGGTGAGGCAAGCGTTAGTGACGCCGTCTTTTGTACGCTCTTGTGTTTGTTATGTGGGTACGTGCCGAGTATTAGTGTGTAAGGATGTTCTTGCATATTGATCACGATTGATGTTATAGGAATTCGGCTGACAATATCGTCTTTCTAAAGCAGTGAAATAAATGTGAGTGTTGTTTGGTTTCTTCCGACTGTGTCTGCTGCGTCCTTCAACTGAAAGAGTGTGGCGTGGCACTTGCTCAGCATTTCGAGACCCCACAACGCGTTGCCAGCTTCAGTTTTGAAGAGTTCTCTTTCGAGAGATTTCTTTGAATTGAAGGGTAAATTCTCAGCCTACGCTTAACCAAAACGTTGAGTTCACTGCAAAACTATGGTTTACTTTTATTACGCCTTCTCATCGGCACCCATGACGGAACAAATTGGTTTCTCAGCTCTAGGATCTTGTCTTTAAACATAGTCCACGGATCGTCTACTGAATATTCATTGGCAAGTGTTTTGAAAACATTGAAATATGCTTGCAATGCAGTGTTGATTCCTTGGACATTAGCCTTCGCGTAATTGTACATTCACCGACTCCTTTCACTGTAAGTACTCGTGTGTTTAATATTTATCTCACTATGAATACAGAGTAGAGACAAACGGAGCGTGAAAGGTCATTACCCAGAAAACAAGCTCTAATCTTTACGTGAACTGTCTTAATGGTAATCACGCGTCAACATTTTGCGAACGCGTTTCATACAGACGCCACAATGGTGCGTTCAATAATTGCGGCTTGGTCTATTGATAGTTTGGCCGCAAACGCGTAAGTCAGGTTACGATAAATGCTCGGAAACGAGCTCATAAAATGCTCATAAACTTTCCCACCAGTATGTGCCAATGATATGTGGGTTTGTGCCACAGGTGATTTACACTTGGTATCTACTCAGGAACGGTAAAAACACACATGGTGAAGAAAATCGAGGCTCTCGTTGCGTAGAAGAATGGATTTATTGACAATCAACTGCAGTCCGGCTCCGTGGGTTGCTGCAGCAGTGCGTGAGTCGAAGGCCAGTACTGATCGTCATCTGCGAAATTTTTCCAACAAACTCCCCGCGTGCTGAAGTCCTCGAGAAAGTTTGGTTCGAGTGGGTTTATATGTTTAACGGCCCGTGCGAAGATTGTTTCACCTGGCTAGTATCTTGCCTTGTCAACTCTTTTAATGCCTTAGCAATCATATGGACACTCTGGGCTGTTTTTTTTTGCCGCCAGTGTCGGTGTAATGCACTGTATATGTATACATATCTTTCTATAAAAATATTGGGTACCCAAATCACCTGTCGCACATACCCGCTTATCAGTTGCACTTGCCCGCTAGTGGGTATGTGTCACTGTCTGCCAGAAAGTGTTTGACCACGTACGTGACCGAATTGTGACGTTATTTGTGTGTTTGCCAGAGCGTCACATTGGTAAAACATGTTAACCTTGGTTAACTTTGGTTCACACCCAGTTAAGGTAGTGAACACGAGAACACCCAGACATACGTATATCGATAGATAGATAGATAGATAGATAGATAGATAGATAGATAGATAGATAGATAGATAGATAGATAGATAGATAGATAGATAGATAGATAGATAGATAGATAGATAGATAGATAGACGCCAAGAAAGCGCATTGTTTGCAAAGTACGCAAAGAAATGCTCCTCATTCATCAGTGAAAATGTCATGAGCAAGTTGAAGTTTCAAAATCTGCATGCCACTACCACAATTTTATACACGTGTCCAGGCTTCGCCCTAAAGTCATGGCATATTAGCGCATGTAAAGAATGCCATATGGCTGAAATTTTTGGAAGCCCTCTATTACGGTGTCTCTCGTATGAGATCATCCTTTTGGGACATACCACTTTAGATCCTAATAAAATGAATTGCGAACTATTATTGAACATTGATGCGACGTTACCTATACTTCAGGACCTCTAGGTAAAAGATGTAGTTAGTAGTCATGCTGTTGATTTTCGGAGCTTGCTCGATATGAATGCCACAGAGTGGACACTTTGTTTCCTTTTTTGTCACGTGTCTTGCGATCAAATTTCAGAGCAAAAACAGAACAATAAGTCTGCTAAAATTATAATTGTACTTCGCATAAGTTCTGGAAAGGAAAGAGAAGTGCGACAAGTAGCGAGCAAATGTAGGTTGCAAAGGACTATGTCGACAAGTAGTCACCGTGGAGTCGTACTATGAGGATGAAGGAACTCTAAGAGGAAGAATAGTGTAAAGCACAATGCCAAACCATGGATAGTCATAACTACTAACCGTCAAGAGGAAGGTGAGTGATAACCTGTTGCTGAGACTTACCTATGCAGCAGTGACGTGGAGAATTACAGAAAAGGATTGACTTCAGTTGAGCCCAATGTAGGGAGGGGCAGAGAAGAAAATCATAGTGCAGTCATAAGGGACAATGAGATATCCGAGGGCATCAGGAAACAAGCACATCTTTATGAAATCTTAGTGAAAATTGGGAAGTAACGAAGTAACGATCTTAGTGAAAATTGGGAAGTAACGAACACGGACGGGAATCTCTTCACGTAGGGCCCCGCCGCGGTGGTCTAGTGGCTAAGGTACTCGGCTGCTGACCCGCAGGGCGCGGGTTCGAATCCCGGCTGCGGCGGCTGCATATCCGATGGAGGCGGAAATGTTGTAGGCCCGTGTGCTCAGATTTGGGTGCACGTTAAGGAACCCCAGGTGGTCTAAATTTCCGGAGCCCTCCACTACGGCGTCTCTCATAATCATATAGTGGTTTTGGGACGTTAAACCTCACATATCAATCAATCAATCTTCACGTAGGCAATTAGGCGTAACTGAGTGTATTTGGAAAAGCAAAGGGGACAAGGGGCGAGTAAAAGTTGAGTGTTCCGATGAAATCAAGAACTTTCTAAGATTGAATGTGCAATGTGTAAGCATGGCGAGTGAGCTTTCAGTTAAGCATCTAAAAATATACACACGAATTCCCTGTACGATAAATTATTAATTTTATTTCCTCCTTTCTCCTCATCCTCTTTTCGACCCGTGTTCCAGATACACATTCCATGTGCCTCTTGCAAGATTGTTGGCTGAAAGAGAAAAGTCAGTGTTTCAGTTCAGAGCTTTTTTCTAGCTGCAGCAACAGTTAATACTGACTACCTACATTGCATTTAGAGCATCAACATTGCGAAATTAGTGCGCAATTGATCTGCGAAAATTGATATATATATATATATATATATATATATATATATATATATATATATATATATATATATATATATATTTAAAGGAACGACAGAAACTAATACGCAAGAAGCCAATCAAGGAGCTACCACTGAGAGGGAAAGTACAATAATTCAGAATATCGCTTCAGAACAGGTACTCGACTTTTAGTGAGGAAACCAACCTTTGTGTAGATACAATGAATGGTAATCTGACGAGTATCATTACGGAGTGTGCAGTGGAAGTTGGAGGCAGGGTACTTATACAGGGCACTGGCAAGCTTTCCCAGGAAACGAAGAATCTAATTAAGAAGCGTCAAATCATGAAAGTCTCAAGTACAACAGACAAAATAGAACCACCAGAGCTTTCGAAGTTGATTATTAGGCGTATAGTATGCGATGTAAGAAGGTATAACACGGAGAGAATTGAACACGCTCTCAAAAACGGAAGAAGCGTCAAAGCGGTGAAGAGGAAACTTGGGATAGGCAAAAGTCGGATGTACGCACTAAGGGACAAAGAAGGCAAAATAACTACCAATATGGATAGGATAGTTAAAATAGCGGAGGAGTTTTACAGAGATCTCTACAGTAGCCGAGACAACCACGACCTTAATACTATAAAAACTAGCAGTAACCCAGATGGCACCCCACCAGTAATGATAGAAGTAAGAACAGCTTTGGAGAGCATGCAAAGAGGCAAAGCTGCTGGTGAGGATCAGGTAACATCAGATCTGCTGAAAGATGGAGGACAGATTGTGTTAAGAAAACTAGCCACGCTGTTTACGGGGTGTCTCCTGACGGGAAAAGTACCAGAGTCTAGGAAGAACGCTAACATCATCTTAATACATAAGAAACGAGATGACAAGGATTTGAAGAATTACCGGCCGATCAGCTTGCTCTCTGTAGTATACACGCTATTTACAAAGGTAATTGCTAACAGTGTAAAGAAAACATTAGAATTCAATCAGCCAAAGGAACATGCAGGATTTCGAACAAGCTACTCAACAATTGACCACATTCATACTATCAATCAGGTAATAGAGAAATGCTCAGAATATAACCGACCACTAGACATAGCCTTCATAGATTATGAGAAGGCGTTTGATTCAGTAGAAATATGAGCCGTCATGCAGACACTGCGGAATCAGGGCGTAGATGAAGTATATGTAAACATTCTGGAAGAAATCTACAGGGGATCAACTGCTACCATAGTGCTTCATAAAGAAAGCAACAGAATACCAATCAAGAAGGGTGTAAGGCAGAGGGACATAATCTCCCCAATGCTGTTTACCGCGTGCTTACAGGAGGTTTTCAGAAGCCTAGAAGGGGAACAGTTAGGGGTAAGAGTTAATGGAGAGTACCTTAGTAACCTGCGCTTCGCCGATGACATCGCATTGCTGAGTAACTCAGGGGACGAATTGCATTTCAGGATTACGGAGTTAGAGAAGGAGAGCAGAAAGGTGGTTCTTAACATAATCTGCAGAAAACGAAAGTAATGTGCAACAAACTCGGAAAAAAGCAGCACTTCGATATAGGTAAGAGTGCACTTCAAGTTGTAAAAGACCGTGTCTACTTAGGGCAGGTAATAACCTCAGAGCCAAACCACGAGATTGAAGTAACTAGAGGAATAAGAATGGGGTGGAGCACATTCGGCAAGCACTCTCAAATTATGACAGGTAGATTGCCACTATGTTTCAAGAGGAAGATATATAACAGCTGTATCTTGCCGGCACTTAGCTACGGAGCAGAAACCTGGAGACTTACAAAGGGGGTTCAGCTTAAATTGAAGACGACGCAGCGAGCGATGGAAAGAAAATGGTAGGTGTAACCTTAAGAGACAAGAAGAGAGCAGAGTGGATTAGGGGACAGACGGGGGTTTAGGATATCATAGTTGAAATAAAGAAGAGGAAATGGACATGGGCCGGGCATGTAGCGCGTAGACAAGGTAACCGCTGGTCATTAAGAGTAACTAACTGGACTCCCAGAGAAGGGAAGAGGGCTAGGGGGAGATAGAAGGTTAGGTGGGCAGATGAGATTAAGAAGTTTGTGGGTATAAATTGGCAGCAGCAAGAACAGGACCGGGTTAACTGGCAGAACATGGGAGAGGCCTTTGTCGTGCAGTGGACGTAGTCAGGCTTATGATGATATATAATATATATAAATATACATATATAAATATATATATATATATATATATATATATATATATATATATATATATATATATATATATATATATATATATATATATATATATACGGTAGAAAATGAGGTCGACAAACGTGCGAAAAAACACTAGTTTTACTAACGTTTCGGCAGGTGGGCCTGCCTTCGTCAGAGTGAATGGTTACACATGGAACACAGGGCACTTCTATAAGCCACTTCTTTGCGTATCACACGGCTAAGTCAATATCAGTAGTTTAAGAAACAAGATTATATATCACCAATGGTACGTGGCCATAGTGCATACACAGCTGAAAACACGTATCATTATACAATAGTGAATTGGCACGTGTTATATACCCTACAACTTGTGTGGAATGCAACAGGTCTGCAAAATAACAGACTGCGCACGCAGTACCTCACTTGGTCATACGTTCTGCGGGATAATCACAGACTAAAAGCATTCAGTAAACCTTTAAAAAAGAAAAAGAAGTCTGGAAAGATAAACAAAATCGCAAAGCAGGCAGAGCAAAATGAATGCGAGTAAAATGGTGAATCGACAAAGGCCACCTACATTATGTAGGTAATATTTGACAATAGGCCAACATCGTGCAAAGAATATACACTTGTCAGTAAAACAAAAAAGTGATTTACTAAGCCAATATGCAAGTAAGCGTACCCGGGCTCTCGTTCATGCCGGCAGATAGTGTTTTGAATTTATGAATTAAAAATGACTCTTTCACTTCGCGTTCATGGTGTGATTTAAAACCCGATTCCAGTATTGTAGCTATCATGTTACTGAATGAATGACCTGCCTCGGTGACATGCCTTGAAATCGGTAAGTTAGGAAGGGCATGCACATGAGCTTTATGATTATTGAAACGGTATCGAAAAGCAGTTTCAGTATGTACATGACAGATTGAGCATTCTAGCAAATATACGACATTTGCAGTATCACAAGTGAAACTGCCCTTAATTTTGAACTTGAAGTTCGTCGCAGTACTGGCTGCCAGTGTTGTTGTGGTCATGTGCGCACACACTTTACAGCGGGGCTTTTTACAAGGACGGCAACCAAGCGTCTGGACGCTATTGCTCTGTCTGGTTTTAGAGGAAGTTAATAAATCTCGCAAATTTTTGCCTCATCTGTACACAACACGTGGTGGTTCTGGAAACGCTTCTGCAAGGCGTTCGCTCTGCATAAGTATGTTGTGGTGTTTACGAAAAATAGACGCGACGTTAGGTGCCGATGCGTTATGGGTTAAAACCAGGTTAACCTGTGAATGACTATTAGGATTTTTTTTGGGGATACACAGTACTGTACGGTCTTGTGCGTCGGCACGCCTTTCTGCGTCATCGACTAACTTGGGCGGATATTTCTGTTTAAGAAGTGCAGTGCGTAGCTGGTTACAGTTATCATGAAAGTCAGACTGCTCAGAGCAAATTCGCTTAAAGCGTAAGACCTGGCTGTAAGGTATGCTGGATTTGCAGTGCCTTTTGTGGCTGCTTTGAAAGTGTAAATACCTCTGTCTGTCAGTCGGCTTGCGGTACAGTTTAGTGCTTAATTTTGCATTATCGAGACATACTGTGACATCGAGAAAGTTAATGGTCTCTGGTGAATATGTGTGCGAAAAGGATATGAAAGGGTGAGCATTATTAAAGTCCGAAATAAAATACAAAAGTTCCTCCTCTCCATGTGGCCAAATCATGAATATGTCATCAATAAATCTTTTATAATAAAAAGGTTTTAGCGAACGACCCGACAAGAATTTATTCTCAAGGAATCCCATAAATATATTCGCATAGCTTGGCCTGATCATAGTACCCATAGACGTACTACTTACTTGAACATAATGCACTCCATTGAATTCAAAGTTGTTGTACTGAAGAATCATTTCAAGCAGTATAGCTATAGTCGAGCTATCAATGGACTTGTCGAAGGCGGAGTGATCGATAATGCAAAATTAAGCACTAAACTGTACCGCAAGCCGACTGACAGACAGAGGTATTTACACTTTCAAAGCAGCCACAAAAGGCACTGCAAATCCAGCATACCTTACAGCTAGGCCTTACGCTTTAAGCGAATTTGCTCTGAGCAGTCTGACTTTGATAATAACTGTAACCAGCTACGCACTGCACTTCTTAAACAGAAATATCCGCCCAAGTTAGTCGATGACGCAGTAAGGCATGCCGACGCACAAGACCGTACAGCACTCTGTATCCCCAAGAAAAATCCTAATAGTCATTCACAGGTTAACCTGGTTTTAATCCATAACGCATCGGCACCTAACGTCGCGTCGTTTTTTCGTAAACACCACAACATACTTATGCAGAGCGAACGCCTTGCAGAAGCGTTTCCAGAACCACCACGTGTTGTGTACAGATGAGGCAAAAATTTGCGAGATTTATTAACTTCCTCTAAAACCAGACAGAGCAATAACGTCCAGACGCTTGGTTGCCGTCCTTGTAAAAAGCCCCGCTGTAAAGTGTGTGCGCACATGACCACAACAACAATGGCAGCCAGTACTGCGACGGACTTCAAGTTCAAAATTAAGGGCAGTTTCACTTGTGATAGCAAATGTCGTATATTTGCTAGAATGCTCAATCTGTCATGTACAATACATAGGTCATACTGAAACTGCTTTTCGATACCGTTTCAATAATCATAAAACTCAATTGCATGCCCTTCCTAACTTACCGATTTC